TGTCACCTTTGCTGTTGACTGCGCTCTGTGCCTGCTGTTCTGGAGAACAGGAAGGAGAGGTGGTCTCGGGGCTCCTCTTTCTACAGTCATTCCACACTCGTGCCGCCTGCTCTTTCTCTCCCGTCTTCCTCTGAGGGCCAGCAGGTCAGAAATAATGAGCTCTCCCTTATAAATGGGAAAACAAGCACCTGGCCATTTGTCTTACCTCTAAACGGGACTAGCAAAAGGAGATTCGGAAATTAACCCAGCGGACTCTCCCCACCACCCCCTTCATAAACCTCCAGTCAACAAAAGGGAAGGAAATAAAAACATGGAAGAAAAAGAATCCCCCTTTTCCAGTGTCCTCGGGAGGCGGCCTCTGTCTAGATGTCCAGGGAAGCTGCCACCTGGGAGAGAGGGGTAGGGCTGAGGAAAGAGGACATGCCAGCAATCTATTTTTACTTGGTGGTATCCTGACTTTCCCTGGTTCTGCGGAAAATGAGCCTGGATTCCACAAAACTCCTTAGTGAACAACAAAGAGGAGCAGAGGCAGCGCCAAGGCTGTCAGGCCTCGGCCGCGGTTTGGAGCCGGCTCCCCTCTGCAGAGACCTTGGAAGGCTGGGGCCGGCGGGCAGGAAGCAGGTGGTTTGCTTTAGAGAAAGGCCCGAGGATCGGCCGGTTGGGGGAGCGCTGCATGGGTGACAGATTTCTGTCCTCCGCTGCAGACACGAGCTTTCTGAGCAGCAGTTGAGAACTTGGCTGGGGTCGCGGGGGCGGGGGAGGGGAGGGCGGAGTTCCTGCTTATGTCCCGGTGACCTGAGCCCCAAAGGGAGAATGTGACCACAGCGCGCATGGGCTGTCAGGATGCCCACATCTTCCTGAAGGCAGAACAAACCTGCCCTAGGAGCCCCAGTTCGACCCCGGGGGCGTGGCGAGAGCCTGGTGGGTGGGAGGCATCGCTAGGAGGCGCCTACTTCCACCCCGAGGAGGTCATTCCTTTGGCGTTGCCTTCAGGCCCACCTGCTCAGGTCTGCAGGTCCTGGTGGAGGGCTGAGGTGTTTTAAAGGGTTTCCCCCGCCCCCCCCCCTCGCCCTGTTGAGCTCTCTGGTTTTCTCCTGTGTGGCTGGGGTGATGGATCATTCTCTCCGCATTGAGAAGGTTTCACCTTATGTCTTCTGTTTCCCTCAGCCCGTCTTTCTTCAGCTCCTCTCACGCTCAGCTGATGCTTGGCCATCCTTACATGGCCAGTATCAGGATTACTGCATTTTTGGAAAAGAACGAGTTTGCGATGTTCATTAAGATTAAACCTAGGACCAACCAGGGACTTCTGGTTATTTTCTTGGGCCCACCTTCTTCTGTCTTTTACCTCAGGACCGTCTCCCCTGTCGGTTTGGACTCTCATTGAACAGTTCAGCACTATAATTTGAATATGTGGAAGAATGTCCCTCCGGTTTTCATGAAGTGTTTCTCGAACGGGCTCACTCTTTCCCTTCATGTGCTAGCAGCCCCTCCTAGTGTCTTTTGGAAACCCAATGAGCGCTGTGAAAATGAGGCCCTTTTGGTGGCGGGGAGCAGCCTCTCCAGCCGTCTGGAGAAGGAAGAGGTTGACTGTTGCCGTCAGCATGGCTGTGAGCTAAGGGAGGTGACTCCCTCCCCACCCCCCCAACGCGGGCTCTCAGCCAGAGCATCTTGGGTCGGCCCCTCTCTGAGCTTCTGCTCCTCTGCAGTATCTGCTCACTTCCCCTTCCTCTGCCCAGGGCTCTTAGCGCTTTTACACTCATGATTCCTTGTTCCTTCCAATTTCAATTTACTACTAACGCGGCCCTTAGCCGCCCCCTTCTCCTGCACCTCTCTGAGAGCCCAACTTCAGCTTTTACTCCTAAGCCCTGACTCCCCCCCATCTCCCAGGTCAGGTTCTGGAGAGCGTGGCTCCTGGTGGCCCAGCACGCCCCTCTTTTTCGGGGCAAAGCTCTTCTGCCCAAGGCCATCTCTGCAGTCACTGTCTGGCCTGGGTCCCTGCTACCTTGGACATTTCTGGTAGGATGCAATGTGCCTCAAAGGCTGAACTCGAATGCTGCCATTACTGGTTGAACTTTTATTATGCCATCTAATATCCATAGCGATGACTAAGAAAGATACAAGACAAATGCCATTTGATTCTGACAGGGTGAGGTTTAAAGAGACACAGATTGTGCCCTTCGCCCCAACCACCGCCCCGAAATGAAGTTAATGTCATAATTTACCTCCCAAATCGGAGTCTAGATCAGAGCTGGCCACTCAAGGCCGTCTCAGGTGCCTTTCTCGTCCTATAGTTGTCTTCCTTCTCGTAGGACTCAGGATACAGACATTTCCTAAGCTTCCTCTGAGAAGTTAAATATCTGTTTTGCTCCGGGGCTTCCTCCCGTCCAAATTCTTCATGTGCTTCAAAGAGCAGCTCAACCTGTATTCCTGCCCTGGGGCTGCTGCAACAAAGGGCTACCAGCTCAGAGGCTTAAAACAACAGAAGTTTATCCTCTCACAATCCTGGACAACACAAGCCTTAAATTAGGGGTCGGCAGGGTTGTGCTCCCCACAAAGGGTCTGGGTGAGGAGGATCCGTCCTCTGCCTGCCTCGTCCGGGTCTGATGGCTGCAGGCTGTGCCTTCACAGCTCCAGCCTCACATAGCCTTCTCTATGTGTTTGTGTTGTTTCCTCTTCTATCTCTTACAAGGACGCTTGTCATTGAATTTAGGGGCCACCCAGGTAATCCAGGATGCTATCTATCTGAAGATCCTTCACTCAATTACATCTGCAAGTGATTTTTCCAAGTCACATTTATAGGTCCCGGGGGTTAGGTGGTAGACATCTTTTGCAGGGCTTTAGGGGACAACATTTATTTCACTATAATTCCCAATTCCCTTAAAGACGTCCCCTAGCCAAACATGACTTTTATCCTTTGTGGGTTCCTGTGCTCTTTATTCAAGTGTCTTAAGGCATCTTTTTTATTCTATTGTGTAGTGTAGATATGTTGGTACCAGTAGTGAGAGGGTGGGCGGCAGAGTTAGAAGTCCTGGGTTCAAATCCAGGCTCTGTCCCTTGCCAGGTTCTGTCACAGCTGAATGGCACTGGGCCAAATCACTTAGCTCCATCTGCTGGGGCCAGGATGCAGGGAGGCACCACAGAATTTAAAGAGGTGCTCACTCTCAGGACCTGCAATTGCAGGATCAGCCCTCTCACTGACGATGAGATTTCCTTAGGTTCCTTAAATATTGTGCCCTAAGTGCCCTCTTGCCTGACCCGAGTCCTCACCCTGCCTTTGCCCTGGTTTTTAAATCCATAAGGTAGGACAAATGACCTCCTTGATAGAGAAATTGTCTGGATTAAGTGAGTAGTACAACTAAAAGACACTGCGCCGTGCCTGGCACATAGTAAGGGATCAATAAATGAAAGCTGCTGTTTTTCCGATCAGACAGTAAGTTCCTGAAGAGCTGGTCTTCACATCTAATTCATTTTTATATTCCTAATAACTTTAAGCACATTACATTGAAAATAGTATGTGATCAATTATGTCTGAGTGAATTAATGAACATGTGCTAAGTTTCAGGCATGTGGTAATTGGGTTAGTGGTCTCTAATCGGGCAAACCACTCAAGCTTCGAGTCCCTGGATCGAGAATTCTTGAGCTGATTCATTTCCTTGTTCGTGTTTAGTGTTTAGAGGGTTTAGGTGAGGTGCTTTGGATGGAAGGAGTAGAGCCCAAGCCTCAGTAAATTGCTGAGGTTGGTTTTCAAATTAGAACCATGAAGGAAAAGGCTCCAAAAGCGGGATGCGTGCACATTGGGAGGATTAGCTCGCGTCTGGAGAGCAGCAGCTCAAATGTGCAAAGTGGCTTTGGTCCACGCATGCTGGTCCCATCAGGAACAGCTGGGCTCCTTCTCGGTTACGCACTTGCCAGCTCCCTGGGAAGGAGATTCTTTCCTAGAACTTGGAGACTATCTTGCATCTTGCTTGGAACGCCATGAAACTGCTGGCAGCATCTGGCCCAGGTGGGTGCACCCTGAAACACATTTAGTTGATATTGGGATTGATATTCCTCTTTTACATTGTGGTTGGGACTCATTAACTCTCAGTAAGGACCAACACTGAAGGAGTTTCCTCCCTTTCTAGCAAAAATATGTTTCCCTGGACAGGCCACATATCCTGGAACTGATTTGCTCTCCTGGCCCAGGACAGCATGTATGTAGTACCCTGGGGCTGGTGAGAAAGCGCACAGACTCAAGAATTCCTGGAGGGGAAGGCTTTTCCCTGCGTCTACCACAACTGCTGAAACACTACGTATAGTAGTCCAAGGCAGGTCTATATTCGCATGGAAACTGTATGTGTGGAATTTTATTTTTTTACTTCAAGATGACCATAAGAGCCAGACTATTGATGAGTGTAACGATTTGAAACTGCTTCTAAATTCCTCATACCATCATGTTAGGTTCAACCCTGAGATCTTGGTCCTGAAAGTTCAGATGTGTTTTTCTAGCAACCTCACTAAGGCACTCATTTTCACTGGTGCCAGACACATGTATTAGGTTTGCAGTTAGTTGCCAGATCAAGCACTGCCTCTATAACCAGTCACAGAATTTAAGAAAAGCGGTCTGGAAGGGTATTGGGAAAGTTGATTTTAGTAACTGCTATATTTATGTCCATAATATCACTATTAAATTGGCAAGCATGAAGCAGCCTTCGGTGTGGCCGAGCGTGTATAGTCACCATTCCTGGATGAGCTGTGTGCTTGGAAGCAAGAAGCATAAAGAGGGCTCTTGGCTTCAGGAATTTGGCTCAACGTTTCTATCCACTGAGCCACGTCCACTGTTGCACCTGCTTCTTTTGGAGCAAAACTTGCACATTGCACTATTACTCTTCAATAGCACGAAATTGCATTAATCTATGAAATCTGTGTTTTTCCCCCTTCTTTCTCTACCATGAAATAGAATCTCTAGGAGCTTGTGGAGGTGGGACGGTGTTGAAAAATACCTTCTGAGTCACTGCTTGAGAAGATTTTTATTGCATTTTTTTTTCAGGTGATTCAAGATAGCAAAAGTATTATAGGGTAAGAAAACATTTAAACTGCAAACAATCAGATGTTTAAGACTTCTGCTTAATCTGTTACATAAGAGGTAACTACTAGTCATTTCTGAAGCTACTGTTGAGTTGGAGTGTGGGATTGGATGGACTTGTCCAATATAGGTAGTAGTACTCACAAAAGAACCCCTCTGCCATTAAGAGAGAAACTTTGGCTCCAATAATGAAGTCATGGCTATAGTTTGTATCTTATATATGCAAAAAGATCCTCAGGTATCAATCACGGTTCCACACTCCCACAGTATTTGGTTTGTGATGAACACGAACTGTTGTTATTTAAGCTCTCAAGTGCCCAAAGTTTCTAAAGTGCCCAAGAAAGAAGCTACATAGCAAAGGCAGAGGAGTCTAGACTGGGGGTTGGCTAACCACAGCCTGAGGACTGGCCACCTGTTTTTGTAAATAAGGTTTTACCAGCACACACTTATGCTCACTCGTTTACACATTATCTGTGGCTGCTTTCACGCTGCAACAGCAGAGTGGGGTAGTTGCGGCACTGTACGGCCAAGAAGCCCAAAACATTTTCTCTCTAGGTCTTTAAAAGAAAAGTTTTGCAGACCCTTGGTCTAGACAAATAGTCAGATGAGTCAACTGTTGGCTAAAGGTCCCCGATTCACGATGCCAAGAGAAGGACTGGGTTGGCTTTGCTTGTTGTCATGCACTGTGTAATTTTAAAAAATCTTTACAATCCAACACAACTAAAATTCCTGTTCACCTTATTTTGGAGCAGCAATATGGAAAGTAAAATTAGGTCTGAATATAGTTCATACGTTACCTGCACTTCTAAACCATTGCTAGATGGTTTAGATGTGCATAAGCCAATGCTATTTTTCAAAACTCTTAAAAAGTTGCAAATGTTGGTAGTCACTAAAGTATCAGCATTGTGCTTGTGTCTGTGCAAAATTCTACAATGCTCAAAACCATGTGCCATAGTTATGAATATAGTCCTGCTTTAACTAAAACTCTTTGGTCTAGTTTTTTCCCAATCTTTGAACCAGTCTTAAGAGTCACCAGAAATCTGTAGTTTAAGACACCAGACACATTTCTTAGCTGAGCCTTCCAGTGCCAACACGTTGGACCAATTCAGAAAAACATGCCATAAATTATGACTGTTTCATTTGAATTAATGGAACACATTCCACAATGGTAAGAATTCTTACCAGGAGTTCAAAAGCCAGACATGGGCTCTAGGTTATTATTCACACGTTGGAGATGGATTCGAATCCTGCCTTTACGGCCAGGTTTGGTTGGTCTGCTCAGGAGTGCAGGGTACGACAAAGGACAAAGCTGAAAGACCTGCGACAATTAAGATTATAATCTCTACAGGTCTGAGTTAAAGAGCCTATACAAATTCCTACACTTGGTTGGAACCTCATTGCACTGACCTGTCAGAAGTGATCTGAAGGTCTCAAAAGGTCCTTAAGCCTAGTGCTTATTATTTGATGTTGGTTACAATGAAGGTTAACTCTTTTCTTCTTATCTAAGGTAGATCAAACTTAACGGATGATTATGGACTTTTCCTGCAAATGTTATCTGAGTAGATTTGCGACTCATTGCAACAGAAAAGCCACTCAGGGGAAAGGAGCACAGGGCTTCCTCTCTAGACTCTGGTGGGCCACCTGGCTGTGTGCTTCATCTAAGATAAATGGCTGGTACCCGGTTCTCTGATCATTCCTTTTGCCTGGACAAATTTATAAGGCTTGAAATAATGACTTAGGAGAGAAGCAGTGTATTAGTGAAAATATCACCAAGAATTTAAATATGATTTTTGAGCTGTGTTAAAAGTTACAACATATAAATCCACCTGACAAATTATAACAGCTAAACAAATGAAGGTACAGAATATTAAGTGTTCTTTTTTTCTCCAGTTTCAATTAAGTTATAATAGGATCTCACAGCTGAAGAAAACGCCATCATTCCATATTTTTATTTAAAAAACTGGTCCTAGTTCTTAAATTTTTCCTTGCTTAAAAAGTCCACCAGCCAAGGTCTTTTAGTTTTGATAAGCTCCATTACAGAACGCCACTTACAAATTCTAATTTTAAAGATACCCTTAAGTTTTCAAGGACGCCTATAGGTAGGGCTAGTTTTCAGAAAAGATGACTCACTGCTCTTATTTAGGAACAGGAAGGTGAGATCTTTTATGAAGCAGTTAAGATTTTTAAAAAGGAATGCTCGCAAACCTTTGTTTAGGAGTAAGGTTGTGGGGTAAAGTGTCTCTTTAAAGCAAAGCACTGCCATTACAGCCAGTTGGGAAAAGCAGCCTATGTTGTTCTATAGCCAAGTCGTGGGTGCACATTTTTGTGTGACATTCCTGCTTGGGTAGCCAGGCTCTGATTAAGATATAGCCGGTTAGATGATCACTAGCGAAAGGCCCGTGGTGTGGGGAACATTTGGGTTACATTCCATGAGAACATTAGACTGTCAAAGCTTGGGAAGGCCTGCGTGTCCGCAGAAGTGGAGGTGGGGTAAAGGACTGGAACTGACGCTAGCTCATGTCAGCGATAAATGGCTGCTGACACAAATTGAACATGTGCAATTTTTTAAAAAGGTGGTATCGAATAACAGGCCCACAGCCATCCCTCTCGGCGTTTTAGACCTCTTTCTTCTCTCCACTTTGGCTCTTTGTTGAGTCACTTCCATCAGGCAGAGTTCCATAGGATAAGCCGTTCGAATCTGGTTGTATTTTATCCAACATTTGTTTCCCTGTGGAGATAATAATCGCACACACAAAAAATCTGTTGAGCTCGTAGAGAAGAATATGTTTTAATAATTTCTCCTCTATCTAGGCCACATTTCATTCCCCTTTTTGATGCTACGTGGTCACCCTTTAAACAGAGGAGAAAACTGTCAAGGAAGGAAAGGCCCTTGGAACTCCATGTCCCTTGATATGTGATCACACACTGTCCGAGAGAAAGCGAGGCCCTGCCGACCTCAGGGCCTGCCATGCTGGGCCTGGAAATCAGGCTGGGTCAGTTGGGAGGTTAACATGAAGCATTCACTCATCTCCAAAGCTTTCTCCCCAGCGTCGTGCTGCGTCTAATGCACCTAACAACATAGAAAAACAGTCTTTCATAGAGGCCTCTAAAGCTGTTCCTGATTCTACAGATGGGGCTTTGTGAAATGAAAAAGGGAGTGAAAAGTCAGTCAGCTTTATTTCCTACCAAAGAACCTCTAACCATAGACGTCATCTATAATGCATTCCCTCGCCACAAATGCCAGTTCTTGCACTGAAAGGTCTTAGCTGACCAAGATGGCTCCAACGCAAAAGAGAACACAGGGCCACACTTTCTCAGTCGTAGGGACAAGGTTTTAATGTTTTCTTCTTCAAAGGCTTGGTCCTAACAGAATGCTGGAGGAACCTGGGAGAATATCACTACCACTGCCTAGAAACCTATCGGTCACCCCAAATCCCTAGCAAAGCTGGAGACTGTTGAGGGTGGCAGGCAGGGGAGGGAGAACACACGGTGGAGTGTATCCTTTGTTCTGGACATTGCTTCTATTGTCTACATGACTAAAGCAAGCGACTCTCAGTGACACTAGAGAACTAACTGGAGAGATGGCGCATATTAAACAGATAAGGATGGAGGAGGTAAGGGGGAGGGGAGGAAGCTACTTCTGTTCGGGTGTCTGGGCAGCATGTCACACTTGGCCCCACAGTGCACAGGCCACCTCAATCTTCCCAGAAACCATATTCCTTAGTGGCCTGGCCTCTGTCTTTAGCTATTCCCCTCAAGGCTCTCTGAGCATTGGGGGCTGCTGCTGGTAGCCATTCCCGATTCCTTTCCTATTCTTTTCCAATTTAAGGAAACTCAAAGGGGAAACATTCAACATCACCCAAATCTAGAAGGCAGGGTCAGCTCTTTTATATCCCCCGCATTCTGTGCAAGCCCGACAATTGAAGAAATGATTATTGACATTTACAGTTTCAACGTCACCTCTGGTAGTATCATGAAATGTACACTTTTTGAAGAAAAGAATCACATTTTATATTAATTCACCACCCAAAGTAATACCAGCAATTATTTATGAAGGTAAGGTTTTCTATTATACATTAAAGAATATACAGTTTTACCAGGAATATTTCCAAAATCAATATAAGACTGTGGCAGATGTTCCTTTTCTCGATTTCTTGTGACCAAAAACACACCAAGGAATGACAGCAAACACCTGTAAGAACAATATTAATAAAGGACATTGAAACAACTCATGGTATTCAGCAACCGAGAATTAAACAGTCTACCCGGCGACATGAATTCCTTTGGTTTTGTTCTTCCTGTTTCTCATGGTAAGCTGCCTAAAACTTGTCTTAATTGCTGCAGCCAATAATCTTTGTCCTCAGAACCAAGACCTGGCAAGCTTCCAATAAGTCTCTGCTCCAGGTTTTCACCATCTGGAGGCTAATTTGGGCTCTGCACCCTTTGGGTAGACATTAGGTCTCATTTTCTATCCGTGCATGCCCAGATCCAGTACTGGCATGCAACACAAGCAAAAAATAATTTATTCTTTAATTTTCTAAGAAATTCAGTTGTCCTTGGCCATAAAAATAGTCATAGTTTCCAGATCCCAGAAGTTTAGCCTTGTCCAAATATCTTATGAAACTGAATGTTCAAGATAGATGGTTTTCTGTGCTGAACGTAGTCTAGGCTTAAGTTTGCGTAACAATGGTCAAACAGATACCAGGTCAAGAAGCAGCAAAGCACTAGCGGAGTGCCCTTTGGAACCAACGAAGATCGCACACAGTGGTGATGAGGACTCAAAGCTCTGTTCTCTGTTTGCAAGGATGTCAGTGAGGATGTCCAGCAATGAAGCATCAATGCTGGGCAGCCAGACCCAGAGGAGGGATGCTACAACCTGACGTTGTTAGTCCAAAGCTAGAACTGCCTGTCTTAGACTTTTATTCTACAGTATCCTAGAGATGCCCATTGTCACCTGATTGAGATCTAACCTAGGGGTTCCCAAGGGCGAGATAGGTCTGATACAGTATGGACAGACTGTGGAGTAGCTACAGAGACAGTGATTTATCTTGTCTTTGGCTGGAACTGGAAAATCTCTGATGTGTCAGAACCCTCAGACAGATACCTAAATCACAAAGTGAGAGACACTGAACCTTGCGTGGGGTGTTAAACTGAAAAATGTTCCCTTTAGGAGGTCAGGAAACAGTTGTTCCTTATATTATTTTCCAATTTTCTATGCCTCAGGTACAATGCCAAAAAACGTACATAAAAGTAATGGGATTGCGTATATCTTACTTACCTTTGGGACACTTACTCACCCCAAAAAATATATAAATACAGTGAGAAAAGCTGCACCAAGGAATTCTTTGTAAAATATGATACCTTTAACAAGAATTAAAGACAAAGTGAATTTTAGGGTGAGAGTATTTACAATAGCTACACATTGTTTTTCAAATTATGTTAATACAGGAGACCTTCTTTATCCTCAGTTTCACTTTCTGAGGTTTCAGTTACCCCTGATCAGTTTTGGTCCAAAAATATTAAATGAAAAATTCCAGAAATAAACAATTTGTAAGTTTTAAATTGTGCTTTTCTGAGCTCTGTGATGAAGTCCCGCGCCCTGGGACGTGAATAATCCAGCACATGCACGCTCTTACACTCCCTGTCCCTTACTTGCTAAGTACCAACTCAGTTATTAGATTCACTGCTGAGGTCGTGCAGCGCTTGTGTTCAAGTCGCCCTTATTTTACTTAACAATGACCCCAAAGCTCAAGAGTAGTGATGCTGGCAATTCAGATATGCTGACAAGAAGCGGTAAAGGGCTTCCTTCCAAGTGAAAAGATGTATATGCATAGGAGGAAATGGCATCTATAGGTTTGCTACTACCCATGGTGTTAGCATCCAATGGGTGTCTTAGGACATAACCCCTGCAAATAAGGGGAACTACTGTATGTATGTTTTTTAAGTATAGTTACCCCTAAAGTGCACATTCAGTAGCTTAGTTTAAAAATACTTGCATGCCACAGTTACATTTCCAATGATCTCAAAGAGAACATAGATTTGTAGACTTTATATAACATAATTATCATTATTATAAAATCAACATACTTGAATATAACTTCTGCAAGTAGAAATTTCTTATCCAGCCCAGAATATGTTCAACTGGCACACGCGAGAAAACAAAACCCTTGTGACATTTTTCATCTACAGTTTGAGGCCAGGGGTCCGCAAGCCTAAGCTGAAAGTCCAGGTGGACTCTGGGCCCTTTGACGCAGCGCTCATGCCTGGGGCCAGCTGCTGCCCATGCTGGCGCTTTTGGCAATGGCCTGCAGTCTGTCAGGCTGGCCACATGCTCATTCAGGCCTGGAGAACAGCGGAGCGTCTGATGCGCTACCCCCTCTCCCTCCCTTCTCCTTTTTTTGCTCTTTCCTTTCGGGTAAAGGAACACATGGCTGTGAGTTTTTCTTCTCTCCTTGTTGGTCTCCATGATTTCTTCTTGGTCTAAGATCCCAAGGCCTTCACAGAGTTTTTATGAAATAAGATGTCTCTAAATTACATATTACCTGAAATTAACTCTTTGTGTGTACGATGTCAGCCGTGCTAGCTGGTTGACAAGTATGTATTGAGAATCTTATGTGTCAGCCACTGTTCTCAGTGCTACAGGTACCACAGAGAACAAGACAGAGCCCTAGATTCAGGAGGCTTCTCAGCCTGCAGCCTGTCTCCTCACCTAGAGAATAAACTCCTTATAGGAAGAAGCCAAGTCCAGTTCTGATGAGTATTTGCTGATTGACTGAACATTTCTGAAACATTATTAGTCACTTCCTTGTAATCATTTTTATGATTCCATGTTATTTAATGAGCTCATGAACCACAATTTTAAGTTGTTTTTTTGTTTTTGTTTTAGTAAAATAGCAATAAATTACTTTGTACATATTTTTTCCCCCAGTATTTTAGGAATTTTGTTGTTGTTGCTTGAAGTGGAACTCCTACTTTTAAAGTGAACATTTTCTTTTTTAGAATTGTAGTAAAATACACACACCCTCACAGTTACCCTTCTAACCACTTTTACGTGTATAGTGCAGCTGTGTTAAGGAGGTTCACACTGGTGTATGAACACTCTCCAGGTCCTTTTCATCCTGCAAATCAGAAACTCCATGCGTGTCAGACAGCAACTCTCCCTCCTCATCCCCTGCCCCTGACAATCACGTTTTACTTCCCGTTTTTGTAAGTCTGACTACTCCGGATACCACATATAAGCGGAATCATATAGTTTTTATCTTGACTGCCTCATTTCACTTAGCATAATCTCCTCAAGGTTTATCTATGCTGTAGCATGTGTTAGAATTTCCTTCCTTTTTGAGGCTAGTATATACATATTTCATATTTCATTGTATGTATATACCACATTTTCTTCATTCATCTGTTGATGGACATTGGGTTGCTTCCACCTTTTGGCTATTGTGAAAAATACTGCTATGAACCTAGACGTGCAAATACCTGTTGAGACCCTTCTTTCCATGCTTTTGCGTTCCCACCAACAGTGCACAAGGTTACAATTTTTCTATATCCTCACCAACACTTGTTATTTTCTGTGCTTTTCTTTTCTAGTGGCCATCCTAATAGATATAGTGGTTATATCTCCTCATGGGTTTGATTTGCATTTCCTGATGAGTAGGGATGTAGATAGAGTATAGTCACATGTGCTTATTGGCCACTTGTACACCACTGGAGAAACGTCTATTCAAGTCCTTTGCCCATATTTTAATTGGGTTATTTGTTTGTTGTTGTAGAGTTGTAGGATCAAAGAGTAGAAACATTTTTAAGGTTCTTGATAAAAACTATGAAACTCAGTTCTGGGAAGATGATACCATGCTACCCAAGCTCCATGAGAGTGTGTCAGCTTGGTCATTGCAATAAAAAGAAAAACCAAAAATTTTACTAATTTGGTAGGCAAAACATGGTATCTCATTTTGATTTAAATTTCAAGCTACGCTTTTTGATAGAGACAAAGAGGAAAAGTTGGTCAAGAGGCTTCACCTCCATTCAACACTTTAGAAACATCAGATGAACTGTTATCACCCCCAGAAAGTTCCAGCCTCCCCGACTCATCAATCTGTGCACTGAATACTGAGATCCAGCCCTGTGGGTCCTCCTAATAAAACTTCTTTTGAGGGGAACTACATGTTTTTTATGTGTCTTTAGCACATTTGTCTTAATTAGTAGCTGCATGTCATGCTTATAACTCCTTTTGAATTGTTTCCTTTTAATAATTCTAAGGCACATAAATTGTGCAAGTTTTTATTTATTTTTGTCAACAAGCATAAAATGCTAAAAAATTAGATGTCCTGGGGTATACTCTTTCTCTTTAAATGTATGGTTCAATTTTGGAAAACAAAATGTATTAATTACTTTAAAAAATTGCCCATTGGCAGTCAGTCACATTGTTTGCAATGAAATAAAGAAGATGAGCTAGTTAGGTAACATATAATCCTTAACTATCTCCAAAACACATACATTTGGCAATAGGAAATGAAGTTTCCGTCTGAGAAGGCGGTGAATTTATCCAATAAGCCAAAGAACTAGGGCAAACAAGTACGAAACTTTGGAGTGATATACCTGAATCTACAGCATTTTGGTTTGAACCAAGTTTCAACTTCATACTTTTGTTTTAAACACCATTGTGTCTGACATATTAAAAAAAAATTGTCCATCACAATAAGAGAATGCAATAGTAGAAAAACAGAGGCCAGAACAGCAAAAGTAGTAGTTTCTGTTCTCACTTGTCTGGCTTCCTCTGGAACACTGGCTTCAGTTTGGGATCTCACTTTCTAGTCAAGGTGCTGAGGGCTGGAGGGCGAAGAGTTAATGGAACTGGGGATGCTTGGACCACAGACAAAACACAAGAGGACCCTTCAGCTGCTCCGATTATCAGAAGGGCTGCCAAGGAGAAGGCTCCAGAGAGCAGAACCAAGATGAGTGTCTTGAATTCATGGGGAGGCTCATTTCAGTCCAATATAAGGAAATACTTTCTAATGATTAGAGCCCTCAAAATAATTAAGAGTAATCTAAAATGGGACTGAGCTCTCCCAGGAGGCAGAGGGCACAGGGGAGCATTCGCACAAAGTCGAACAACCCACCCTCGAGGATGTTATGGGGGAAATTCGGATGCTGGGTGGAGGCTGGAGGACATGGACTCCACAGATCCCTGTAACCTAAGGGGTCCTTGATTTTCTCAATCTGCTTGTTGTGGGAGCAGAGCACCTATGTACAGAAAGCCAAAACTCACCTGCAATAATGGCACTGGTTGTAAAGAAAACATGGTTCACGGGCACCACAGTCGCTGTATTGTAGAGTTTCGTGGCTTGATTTAAGAACCTAGAGCAGAAGGCACTTACTGAATTTCTGGCTTTAAGAGATGCTCAGCAATAAGTTAACAATAACATCAAGAAATGCATGTTCTTTAGCTACAACTACAAAGGGAAAGGAAGTGCAGTAAAAGGGCATTTCCAATCAGCAGTCATAGCTTATATGCATCTGATGTATGAGATCAGATGTCAGGTTTTATGGTCTGTTTAAACCAACAACAGTAACAATGAAAAGCAATTAATCATATTCTGAGGCCACAGAAGTTTGAGTTGGAAGCGATTCAAGCTGCTGGACCGGTATCACACTGGGGCTGATTCATTACGATAGACCTTAGAATCTGTTAAATATCATATCTGGGGAATAGTATAGCTATGCATTGACATGCCACGTGCCAAGAAAGAAGATGGAGAAGTAAAGGAATGTTTAATGTTTCAAAAACAATGCTTAGGGCTCCAGCTGTGGAGCACATGTGGGAACTGAGCTTCTCACTTTGGCCACCAACATAATTCAGGTTCCCACAACTGTGTTGTGCTGCCCGGTCAGGGACTACAACCTTTTCTAAAGCAGCGCATTGCACTGACGTCACCTCACCTGGGTACTTCCAAAAAGCACGAAGGCTCAGGTCCTATTCTTGAGCAATTGAAAAAGTTCTTGTGGGCACAGCCCAGGTATTCCTGTGTGTACATACATATGTGCATGTGTATATACATATATGTACATACATACAAGTAAATAAACCTCCTTGGGTAAGTTTAATTTTAAAATTTAAATTTAAATGCACTGAAACCCACAGTTCGGCAGTTGTAGTGTGTTCACAGAGCTCTAGTGTGAAAAAGGCAGGGACTGAAACAAGGGTGAGAAGGATGCAGTTTGCCTTCAATTGTATTAGCATTTTAAATTCATAAAGCGTAAACATAGTGATACTAATCGCTGAATTCTAAACGGTAGTAGAGTGGTATTGATTAATTCAGAAGAAGAAAGAGATGAGACAAAATAACAAGACTCAATATTAGAAACACACTCAGTCCTATAAGGAAATGGCCAATGAAACAGTGACAAAACATTGGGCTTCTCCAGTAATTCTCCACACTCCTTGTCACAGGGCCCCTGGCCAGCCCGTGACAATTAGACTTTCCTCCTCGGACCCCAGGAAGAATCCACTCTCTCCCCGGGCCTGGACTCTGACTGCCTGGCTGGCACTGGGATGGTGGTTTTGCACAGCATTTTGGGGTAAACAGAAAACTTTCTGGTTGACTCAAGAGCGCCTAGAAGGCAAAGGCATACTCACGGTGTGAAATGGAGGGGAAGAGATTGGAGCAGATGGAGGTGGGGGGAGAAAAGAGCAGAAATTAAAAATGTTCCATGTCACCACAATTAGGCCCCAAGGGAAACATAAAACAATCATTCCACAATCTCTTGGGTACAAAGCAAATTCTGGCCAAAGATGTGAAGTTCTGGGGAAAGGATTTCCCTCCCGGCCAAACGTCTGGTTTTGTCCATCCCTGGGCAATTAATGAGCATGAGCTAAGAAGTGAAGGTGAAGGGTTCATGTATTTCCTATACTTAGAATGAAATCCTGGATGTGGACCTGCCCCTTTGATTTATTGCTAATGACAGCCTATGTACGATGGATATTAATTACAAGCAGAAGAGCATCAGGAAAGTATCAAAGTGCACTTAGCTAGATTATAGTTGCACTTTAGAACTCACAAGATGTGAAGGCAATGCTTAGTAAAAACTTCTTATTGGATGTGAAGGGTATTGCAAGGCATGTTAGCGGAGGATAAGCTGTAGACCCTTCACCCTTTGCAATCAGTTGCATCTAATTTTAATTATCATCTGAAGCCAATAAAGATTAATGCTCAGAGAAGCACAGGAATGTTGAAAGATTGGTGGGGATATAAAAGCTAACTTACTTGACTTGGAAAACACAAGATGCTATCATGATGATAAACATTATATAGAAGATGGGATAAGTGAGTTGCATTCTATCCGTCACAGAAAAAGTGATCATGCCTGAGACAGCTTTTACTGAGATAACAGTCAATGAGGCTGGAAAAGAAAACAAAGAACACAAATAAAATACATACCTTAGATAGAATTACAAATAAATAAGTTTACATGGTAGAGTAGTAAATACCCCAATTATGCTGTAAGCGTGAAGACTGTTGTGAGAGGTGTAAGGCAGGACATGATGCTACCTAAGCAGTAGCCCTGCGGCTGCAGCTGGGCGGGACTTCAGGTTTGCTTATATCAGCTAAAGACCTGCTGTGTGACTATGTGTTTTTTATCTTTGCAGCAAGGTGCCTATTTTCCAGTGCTATCTCTTGAAAGGATGCTACAGAGGTTATAATTACTAGTAGATGGGAAAGGAGAAAACAATGAAGGGAGGAGATAAGAAAAATTAGACTGTCCATGTGACAATGGGAAAATAACTATTGACTATACCGAAAAAACTAAGAGGCAAATAGATGAGAAGACTGGAAAGTGAACAGCAATTCACTCTATGAGTTACTAAGAGTTGTACTGGGTCTGTGTATGAACGCTTTGTTAATAAATGCCTGGAAGTTTCATTAAAAATATCTTTTTGAAGAAGACACTAATAGGAAGCAGGACCAGAGCTGAATATTCATTTCTCAGAGTCAACTATAAATCTAAGATTTACATAAGCATGTCTACTCATTTTCTATGCTCAAGAGGAACCTATCCCTTAAAGGAAAAATTTTCTTAGGTTCCAAAGAGCAGTGAAGAAAACATGGCTTGAAAAGGTTATAGCAATATGAAAGCAAAGAAGAATTTTCTGGAAATACCATGTTTCTGAGGGAAGAAGACAGTGTTTTCATTTTGTCCTACGTCCCTTATAATTACTGTTACCTGTAACTCCATAAATTAGCTGAAACCTATGGAAAAATTAAAAAATTATTTTTACATGAAATCAAATATAAGTCAAAGGCAATGTGAAAGAAATATTATTTTTGTTGCTGTTGATATCTGGTCATAATATATGGGAACTTTATCCCTTTTAGCTTTTGAAAAGGTGTTACATGCATGTATGTAAAGGATATGTTTAAAACAGCAGGTGAAGCACTGCAACCAGGAAAAGTGTTCAATAATCTCCTTTTCCAAAAACTGAAAAAATACTTTAACTTGAGGGGTACTAGGGCACACTTCCAAATTAGGCATTTTCTTTCTGTTAGAAGTCATAGTTAACTAGAGAGACCTGGTGATAAATTTTAAAAACAAACCCCCAATCTGAACAAAGAGGCCCCTTCTGCTGGGCACCTCTTCATTTTAAATGCCTTTGACCTGATCCTTTTACACATTTTCTACGATTATGACAACAGTCATATCTTAGAGAATCTAGGAATGTTAAGTATCTATCGAGATGTGTGTCACTTGATGGTTTAAGTTTGTAAGGTTAGGTCCTGAGGGACCTACACACTTTGCTTGTAATTAGAGCCAATGTGGTTATGGTCTTGTCGTCTGAACAGCTTGGTTTTCCAAGAGGATCGTTAGTGGGGAGGCAGCTGAACACACTGTCCCATGAGCCTCAGAACCTTGGGATTGCAAAGGCCCTTCAAGTCATCTAATCTAAAAAAATTCAGCTAACTCAACCATCGTCTGATGTTAAATTATACTTAACACAAAATAACAACAAAACTGGATTTTAAAAAATTAAACAGCTAAACCAACTAGTAGTTGCTATAGTTAGTCAATCATTATATTTTCAAAGCATGTACAATCACCAACTGATTAATCACTATTTATTATAACTTGGAAAGTTATTGCTAGACGAGTTCTTCCAAGATTATTTTTGCGGGGGTGAGGAGGCTAGGGTGGTGGATGAAGACAGGTGGAAACATGAAACTGTAATGCAGTCTCATTCTAGCATTGCACATATAAAGATAGAAAGTACTTATGTATGACACAGAGAAAAGACTAGAAGAAACTATGTCCATATATTATCAGAGGTTAATCTCTAGGCATTGGGCTTATGAATAATCTTTAAAGTCATCTTCTTTAAACTATAAAGGTCTGTATGTTCATTGAAGAAAATTTGGAAAATGCAGAAAAGCCTGGAAAGGAACATGAAAATCACTTGTAATTTTAATACTCATTTCCAAATCATTTTTAACATTTGGGATTTTTTTTTGTAGTATAGAAAAACACTATCTCTGACTATGAATATGTGTTGTAACATATGAACCATACAGTACATGCTACTTAGGAACCTCTTTTCTATGCCATTAAGCAGAATATATAAGTAAAAACTATTGTTAAGTGTTACACAGAAAAGAACTGGTTTCATTAACACAACTGGTTGTGAAGTATTATTTGTTCTGGATCCTACTTGGATTTTTTTTTAAATTTGAGATTTTTACATCAATTTTCAGTAGTGACATTAGTTTCTAGTATTCTTTATTTTTGCTCTTTGGGATCTATATTTATACTGATTATGTTAAAAAAGAAAGTGAAAGCTTTCTTCTTATGTCCTCAAATAGTTTAAACAACATCAGAATGATATGGAGCTTAAAGATTTAAAGGCATTACTTTCTAGGTCGGAGGTAGAAGTCTACAACTGGTTCTTTTTTAGGACGCAGCTTTCTTACAACTCCTCTATTTCCTCCATGGTTATTTCACTTAAAAATAAACAATTTAGTCAAATTTGTATACTGTCTTCATTTTCTACATAAGCATTATTTCTAATCTGTGGAATTTGAGATTTTTCCCTTTTTGTCTTATGGAGGACCTATTTTATTGTCTTTTTAAGAACTGATTCTTGGGTTTATCAATTCATTGTTTTTCTGTTTTCTATTTCATTAATCTTTCTCTTTCTCTTTATTAATTGCCCCTCTTCCGCTTGCCTCAGCTTTGTTTCTATAAAAGACGTAGTAACAGAAACCTCCTTTAAAGCGAAGGCGGGAAGCCCACGCGGGACCTCTCCTTGCCTATGTGATCACGTTAGTCCCCCCTCCCGACCCCCCAACTTCCCCTCCCCTCCGTGAGGGTGTCCTCTCCTTTCTTACGGGACTTACACATGGCCCGCTATGGCCATGGCTGTTTGTTCCAGGCTGCAATTCTTCATTGTTCCTGAGCAAGGCCATTTTGCTGGATAAATATTTAGCTGACTTTTTGTTTAAGGATTTCAGTGTTTTTTTCCACCCCTTACTTCCTCAGTTGAGTGCTTAATTGACTTACACTTAAAACAATAAATTTCCTTCTGAATACACCATCGGTTATAAACTATAGGTTTAATATTAAATGTTTTTCTAATAGCTTAATAAATAAACACCACAATGAAATCTTGGTTTCTACTTTGGCCCAGCTGCAGTTTAAGAGTAGTGTCAACATTTCTAGGCGGTACGATTTTACTGCTTTCTTTTTGTTATTATTTTCTGTTTTTACTTCACCGTGATCTGAGAATATGGTCTGTACATTTCAGCTTCCTGGAATTTGTCAAGGATTTCTTTGTGGCGAATGATATTTTGTAGTCCCTGTTTTCAGGATTTAGAGTTCAATATTAGAGCTGCCAGATCAAACTGAAACATTCAGTTTTCCTACCTTTACCTATTTTTCTGGCTGCTTATCTCCCAGGAGGTAAGAGAAGTCTCCCGCCCTTACATTTCTGTTCCTGATGCCTCCACCCAAACCCATCTTTGCCATGATTAGCAACAAAATACGAAAGGGGGACCTCCAGGATCCTTTGTTGCATTTAATGCTCCTGCCTTGATTTTAACTTAGAAAGTAATATCGTGACCTGCTTTCATTTAGCTTCAATCTGGGTTATCTTGTTTTAGACGATATTTACAAATGAAGTCAAAATATTTTACAATCAACAAGGGACAGTCAGAAAAGATGCTCTTTTGCAAACTCTTACAGAGCTGAACCACAACGGAATGGATGAATATAATTTCAGAATCTTTTTCAAAATCCATTTGGGAATTTTTATGAAGTCCATTTGGGAATCTTTCTTTTTTACTGGGTACACTAACCCCATTTACATTTATGCACATAACTGATAATGTATGATCTTAATTCTGTTAACTTATTCTTCTATTGTGAATTTTCTTTATTTTCAATATTTTTGTACATAATGTACATTTTTTCCCATTTAGTTGCTTGTTTTTGTTTTTCTCTATCTGGTAATTTGGAAGGAGACAAATATAAAGCTCCTTTTCTGTTCTTTTGATCAACAGCATACCTGAATATGGTATGGAGTAAATTTCTTTGTATAAGTAACTATCACAAATACAAATCTTCCCATTCAAAGGAGAGAACTAGTTGGTGAAATGAACAAATGAAGCTCCAACACCTCATTAGCACAGCGGCCGCAGCCTGTCCCACTGGCGTAGGTACGATGCTTAAAGTTGGCAAACGACACGCACCATATGGGTCATCTTCTTGGCAAAGAAGAGGCAAAAGAAGAACTACAAATACATTTTTAAAAAGGGAATTTCTGAAATGATTAGTAAGATCTTCTAGTGTTGATATATATGAAAGTGTGTGTGTGTATGTGGGGCAGGGGGAGAGAGAGAGAGTAGAGAGTAGGGAGAAATACATAGTGGGCTTGTCTAATCACCAGTTTTCAAATCTTATAAGAAGCCTCTAGGGGGGAAAAAAAGAGATAAATAGGTAAACAATGAATGAAATAAATTTTATATAAAAGAAAGTCACAATGTTCACACTTATGTTTCATATTAGCCATACTTTCAAGTTTAAAAGAATGTAAACAGGATAGATCTTGATAATTTTTTATATCTTTCAATTATTTACTAAGAGAAAAATCCTGAAGTTGTTCAGAGAGCAAATAAAATAACCAAGAAATAAAACTCACTAAATATATTTTAAGAGGAATATATGTATATTAATTGTGGCAAGAGATATGCAAAGTATGGTTTGTATAATTGGGACTCAGTTTCTTTTCACAGATCAGAGTTGAAAAGTGTAGACAATGAGAAAGGAATAGAATGCTCAAGTATTTTCCTTCAAATCTTTTGTGACTTAGCATGACCAGATTAGAAAATTAGGCAACAAAATATATTCTTACCTAGAAGTGCCACCAGGGTTAGCAGAATTACAATGTGCTTCATTCCTTTTCTTTTATGGTAATATAGGAGAATGCAGAAAATTAATATTTCTAAAATCTAGAAATAAAAAAGATAAAAAGAGGAACGTATAAATTATTCTATACAAAGTCTTCAGAATGTCACACATCTTTGATTTTGCAAGTTAACATGGGAGAGCTGAGGGTGAGGTGCCTGGAGTTCCTATGGACAATTACAAATATATGAGAACAACGTCAGAAACCCCAGCTGCCCAAGCCCAGAGCTCTAACGCCACCTGCACACCAATGGTGCCCACACCTGGATCTCCAGTCTGGTCCTCCCTGCAGCTCCAGCCTCATTTACCCAGCTATCCCCTGGACACCCCCCGACCTGCTACTAAACGCGTTTAGTAGCTATATCGCACGAGCATGGGCAACACCTAACTCTTGAAGGCCTACCTTCCCTGCCTGCGCTCCGTGGGGTCGTCACCCCTCCGCAGGTGCCATCACCACGCTGCCTTTTTCCCTCGCTCCCCACCACCCTCTGACCGCTGCAGTGGCTTCTCAGTCATCTCTGATGTTACTCTCGGCTCCCTGCAATCCAGCCATTTGGCAGCCAGAAGAATTGTTTAAAAACACAATCCAGATAATGAAATATTTTATTCATAGAGCACACATATGATATCCATAGAAGGTACTTACAGTGATAAGGACTCACGTGCTCCGAACCTAAGAAATAGAACTGATCGATACTTTTGAAGAAAAAAGAGGAATATATTCCTTATATTCTCCTGTGCCCCTGCCGACCTGCACTTCTCTCTCCTACGATCTTCCCAGGACCCACTGTGCTGAATTTTGTGTTTACCACTTATTTTCTTTATAGTTTGTCACATTTCTATGTATCCCCAAATGACACCTTGTTTATTTTTGCGTATGTTTGGACTTTATACAAGCAGCATCACATTGCTTTCACTTGCTTGCTTTTTTTCACTGTGCATTATGTTTATGAGATTCATCCAGGCTGATACATGTAGTGAAAATATAAATTAGATCCAGTCATCCCTTTGCTTAAATCTCCTAGGGTTTCTGGTCCCGTTATGAACAGAATCCAAACTCCTGCTGGATTGCAAAGCCCCAGCCCATTTCTCTGGCCCCACCTTGTGCGCCCCGCTCCCGGTCGGTCCACCCTGCGCCAGCCACCAATGGCCCTTTTTCCTCCCTGGTTCTCACATTGCTCCTGTCTCTGTGCCTTTGCACTCGCTGTGCACCCTGGGATGCTCTTTCCCTGGTCTTCGACCAATGGCTCCTTCTAGTCACTCAGCTCTCAGCTTAAACGTCACCTCCTGAGAGGCCTTCCTGGACCACTCTGATCTAACAGAGCTGCCCAGTCACCCTGTCACAACCTGACTCGAGGTGGCTACATTTCATCATCATCTATCCTCTTTCTTATTCATATATTCATGTGTTTCCTGCCGGTGAATTGAGTCAGTCACTCAATAAGTATTTAGGGAATTATAAGAAAATTCCATCTCAAATTTATTATGAACAACATGGCAAAAAACAGATCTAATGTCTAATAAACTGAAAGTTCAATGAATGCTAGTTGACTGAATGTCTAAAATTTTCCTACCTTTAAGAAACCTCTAGTGTAAGTTTGAGTTCTCATTTTTATTTGTGCCTTAATGTTTTTTTTCTTTTTGGAGATCCTTAAGATAAGCTGAAGCAACTGGTTTTTCCCCCCCTTTTTTCCCCCCCTCAAAGAGACAGTATCCATAGACTGAAATCCTAAATATGAATGTTTACTTTTCTGACATCAGACAGGTAAAAATACCAACAGCAGTTTTATTTTTATTAACAATTACTCGAGCTGGGGACTTCACTATTTTCAGAACTGCATTTTACTTATGAAGGCCTCTCCAGGTCAACATAAATCTCTGTTGTCTCCATTCCAGGTTTTTGTTGGTTTGTATTTTCCCTTTAATCCTCTGTGGGCACGGAAAGCAGCAGAACCAAAACGTCCTCGTTTAAAAACCTTTTCATCTCATATGGAAAATTAAGTCATCCCTTTAGTTTTCTTTTCCTGGTAAATTAAACCAATTATTTTAACGTCTCCTTATAAAACTTATTTGCCAGGCCTTTGATTCAATGAAGCAGTGCTACAAAAGCTATTAAACTCCTATCTCTTTACCTTCCAGAAAGCTGCCATCAAAACACTGGGTGTCCCAGCCTTAGTACAACTCATCAGTTGTTTACAGAGATATCCCCCTGGGCTCGGTCTCTGCTCAACCACCGGTTTCCAATTGTCACGCGATACAGGGACCACAGTATTTACTGACGGAGAGAAGAGCTAGAGCTTCTGGCTCTACCGCACAGAGCACGTTAGCTAAATCCATTAGCGTGCCAAGTACCAATTTTTGCGGGGGAGTGATGAGGGTAGTTATCAGTTCTAAAACTGATATGGAACTTTTTGTAAGTTCCACCTCTCAGGCTTTAGATAAATAAAACTCGAGTTCCTATCATTCTCAGAACGACTGCAGTTGCCCTGGGTTCCATCTTGTGACAAGATGGAGTTTCCAGGAATAAAATATTCAGGCAGCATGACTTACTGTTAACGTCTCTCTAGCAACACTGTCCCCCCTCTCTGAAAATACCAGTATTAAAGAAGCTGTGATTTTTCCAGGCTGCTGCCATCCACAGAGAGGTCGCCTTGCTGCTCTCTCAGAGGTCAGAAATAACAACTGTGCTGACTGCACGCTCACCACATGCTTTAGCTGGACTAATTCACTGAGCCCTCACAACCCTCTTGGAGGTAGACACTCTTATTATCCTCATTTTACAGGTGGGGAAACCAAGGCTCAGAGGGGTTATGTGGCTCTGGTAGGCAGAACAATGGCTCTCCAGCGGTGTCCATGTCCTACCTAATCCCTGGAACTTTTGCATGTGCTTTTTTACATGGCAAAGGGGCCTTGCAGATGTGATTAAGGCAATGGCCTGGGAGATGGACTCGGAGATTATCCTGGTTTACCCAAGTGGGCCCAATGTAATTACAGAGTCTTTAAAACCTAAGAGCCTTCCCAGCTGGTGGCCTCTAGAAGCTGGAGAAGGCAAGGAGAGAGATTCTCCCCTAGAGGCACTAGCAAGGAAGTCAGCCCTGCCAACTCCTTGGTTTTAGCCCACTTGAGGCCTGGGTTGGACTCCAGACCTTCAAAACTGCAAGTTAATAAACTTGTGTTGTTTTAAGCCATGAAGTCTGTGACAATTCGTTACGGAAGCAATAAGAAACTAATACGTTTGGGTACCTGAAGCCTTTCCAGAGGAACAGAATGTTCAGGACGGGTTTTCTGAATGGATTCTGGGTTTTCTGGATTGGCTCTCGAGTCTAATTAGGTTGGAAGGCACTCACTCTCACCCTGTTTTCGGGGGTAAGAAGGCACTGGCAGGCCATGGGATGAGGGGACAAAAGAGATACACAGCATCCCAGTACGGATGCCCCACCTCCAGTACCAAAACCTGTGCCTGTGCTCACCCCGTGTTCCCTCACCAAGCTCTTTCTTGAAAGTAAGGCCTCTGATAGGGCTTCCTTGTCCAAAACAAATGAGTTCTGCAAAGATGCTAAGACCAGGAATGGACAGATTGGCCCCTCGGCAGTCAGCGTTCACGAATTTGCACAGCGCGGGGCACGGGAGTGTGCACCCGGAGGTGGACTGCCTGGCTCTGAATTCTGAACCCTTCGGTATTCACGTGACCTTGTGCGAGTTCCTGAACCTCGCTACCTCAGGCTCCCCATCTGCTAACATACAGGGCTGATGTGCGGGTAAAGGACAGAAGGTAGTTGAGCTAGGAACAGGGTTGGCCTGCTCAGTGAGGGCCGGCTACCTACTGCAGACGTACGCCCAAGGGCAGGCCTGCAAGAGCTACCTGCGTTCAGGCAACAAAGCAAATGAACTTCATGCACTAGATGTTGAGGACTTAGAAACAGTTTTCTTGAAGCGGCTTTGCCAGGAAGCCTGACTTGCTAATCGGCTTTGGGGTTCTGCTGATTTAATTTTTTGTCTGGCGGAGAGAAAATAAGCACCATGCAGATTGTTTTGTGAAGGATTCTATGTTTGCCACAGAGGTTTCAATTTGAATAGTCGGTTGGAAAATACGGGTGGGCCAAACGGCCACATTCAAGCCTGCCAAAGAACATTAAGCAATTGAGGCTTAGAGCTGCATTTCCTCATGTGGGTTCCGCAGGCCGAGTTAATAGGTGTTAATCAACAAAAGGTCTGTCCAGAAAAGGGCCCCACGGTCACATAAGCCTGAGGCATGCAGGACTAACAAAATTAAGCTTGTCTCTTTCCTGAAGTACTTTTAGTTTTTAACGTGCTAAGAGAGATGATGTATTTGTCAGAGGGGGCCATGTTTCACAGCATCTCTCCAAGCCAGTTTGACCTTGAAAGCCACTCTGTTTGTTTTGCTTTTTGGCAAGCCCCAGGTAAGACCACCCCTCTCTGAATACAGGCTGAGAAGGGCTGTTTTCGTGGGTGAGCAAAGGGCACTTCATTCTTTCCTGGCCAGCGGACACCAGGCTTCTCAAATCCTCCTCCTGCGCCAGCTCAGAGGATGGGCTCCTGGGCCCATACCTGAGGCCTCTACTTCACGAGCCTTACAGGTAAAAAGGACATCCGCCTGCAAGAGGTGAACACAGCAGCCAAGGGGATGCTACTGGCCAGTCTGTAATACTATTGGACAGTCCCCTCTTGAAAGATGTAAAACTTATTCAGGCTTTGAAATACTTTTATTCAATTTTTTAGTTTTTAACCAGTCCTGAAAGGCAATTCAGATGCTGCTCTTATACTCTGTGTAATATAAAAACAGTTAGGTGAATGATACTTCAAAGAACAGTCTTAATTACTGTAATTATGATCTTTGCAGTCATGGCTTGCAGAAAAAGCACAGAATCTGCCACATTCAAGGATTAAATATTAATTACTTAGACATTTAACAGATTTAAACCAAATGTTAGCTCAAGATCTTAGTATGTAATTGATAAATTCTGGTCTTTAGAGATGCAACATGTAACAGATTAAATTCCAAACTACGATAATGTAGATCTATTCCCCTTACAGCCTACTGCCAATAGTGTTATTCAAATGTGACTTTATTAAAGGTTTATTTTATGCTATCTTGTAAGTACCTGGAATTACTTACTTTTTTTGGTGACACTTACTTTCAGCTATACTTTTATTATTTTGCAGGACTATGGGTCTCTCCCAGGACTAAAATTCTTGCTAAAGGAATTCCTTTATATACTCAGAATGACTAATGATTTAAATGAATTAAGTGAATAAATAAGTGAATGAATGTAAGAGGTGACTTGGGAAATGGCAAAATGGAATTAATTCCAGAGGGATTTTTTTTGTGTGTGGAAATATCAATATAAGTTTTAATAAAAATTAGTTTTATTCTTTTAAAATGTTTTCTCTGGTGTTAAAACAATATAATACACATCACCATTAAACAATGCTATTTATTCTCCCCAAAATAAGACTTGATGCATCTTAAGTCTCCAAAGGATTCAACCTAGGCTATTAATTTTCTGGTTGTAAACTATGTGACCGTTTCTTACTGGATAAAGAGTTTGTTTTGCCTGTAGGCAAAGAATACAATGTGTTGGTAGGACTTCAAATTTAGACTGTCATAAAATACTCAACAAGCCCTTCTAATTCTTAGACTTGATGGAGGACAGCATGCTAGTTAAAGGACTGGGCGTGTTGAACACGTAGGAAGATAGAGCGGGGTAGGGGGCAGACACACAGGAGGAGAGCCCTGAGGAAGGCCACTCTGAGTTGGGAAGCCCATCCTAAAGGACGATGTGGGGTGGGGGGTAAGGGAGCCCCCGAATATTAGAGAGGAGGGAGTTTAGGAGAGAAGGTCCATTGAGTTCAGTTTTTGAGATGATATATTTGAGGAACCTATGGACTATCCAGGCCAGGATGAGTACTCTGTGGACAGATGAGAACATAGCTCTGCAGCTCAGAAGAGGCCTGGGAAGAAGATGCAGGTCTGGATTTGGAAGTACTTCTAAAGGATGATTGTGGGGTGGGCAATGAGATCACCCTAGACCACCCTAGATGAATACTGAGCATGAATAGGTAAGAGTGGTTGACAGAAGAGAAGGTAACTATCAAGAGCCTGGGATGGAAGAGTCAGAGAGGAAGAGGAGAAAGAGGGAAAACAAACTGAGGAAGCAGGGAGGAGGGCAGCTCAAGGAGAAGATGATGGGCCACGAGTAAACGCTACGCAAGGTTCGAGAAGAAGCAAGACCAACAAAAAATTTCCCATTTAGCAGTTCATGGGGAGAGATCTGTGAAGAGATTATAATTAATAATGAGTGAATAGGACCTGAGAAAATGGAGGGGAATAAATTTTGGTAGTGAGTGGAAGAAAAGCAAGACAGTTTATTAAAAGGTGTGTAGTATATAAAGATTTCTTTCTAACAGAGAAATTTAAGTATCTTTGTTGAGTAAGAGAAAGGAACAGAGTGGGAGATTATAAAGAGAAAAGACCTCTAAACATTTATGTTCCAGTGTTCAGAATTATATATCAAAGATGGTAAGAAACAGAATTCTTGCCACATAGATGAGGAACTGCCAGACAAGAATATAACACCATGCAGTTCCTGCAGTGATATCCTTACTTACACTTGGAACAAAATTCACCAATAACTTTTAAATAACAGGTGTATAAAGTAGGATCATAGTATGTTATGTGTTTTAATGTCAGAGGACCAGAGCAAAAAGCTTTTTGAGGTCACATATAATCCTAAAAATACAAGATTCTATAGAAAACGTATTGCATTGGTCTCAATGAGAACTTTTTTGACGAGAATATCTATCTTGAACAAAATTCAATGAAGTAAAATGTGTTTTCAGGTCTTTTCCTTTGGCCCTGGAAGAGAGGGTTTTTTTGTAGGGGGACGGTTTGTTTGTTTTTACTTTGAGTTGTCTTAAAATACATTGCTCTGAAATTTGTCAGATTCAATGCTGTGGAAATTGTTCCAGCCATGGGTCACCCCCAAGGGTAGGATACCTGGGAAACTGGGGGACTTCTATTGCTGAGTTAGTGTTTCAAATACTTTGCTCTTGGTTAAATATATTTATATTTTAATGAGATATTAGTGCTGAAAAGATTACATTAGTTGTCTACCATCTGCATGGACCAGTGGTCTAGATAAGACAGCTGCTGCCACAGTAATGAGAATTCTTACCACGTAGATCAGGAACTGCCACCCAACAAAGTAACGCTGTATCATTCTTGCAGAGATCGCCTGAGTTATATTTGGAGCGAAGTTCACCAATAAATACGATCCTGCAAATGCCAGTGTCATACCTTTAAATAAAATTGAAAAGACAAAACAAGTTGAAAAGGGATATTTCAGTCTTTTTGTTGATGTAAACATTACCTGTAGACGGAGCATTACTTGTAAAAGTGCTGACAGTCCCTCCCTATCAAAACAGGGTTCATCAAACCATTCCTAGATCACACCACACATTCACCTGATGGCACTGCCTTTTAAGAGCAATAAGGGCCAGGGACTGGATAGGGCAGAACACAACCTCTGATTTTTCTCTGTTGTCCCAGATGGATCCTGGTCTCTCCAGAGGAGCTCTCCCCTAAGATGGGGAAGCTTAGGACAAGTGCTTTTGGAGACGTGCAAGTGCAGCCGAGCTGGCTGTGTGCACGTGGGCCAGTAAGCCCAGGGCAGACTAGGTGGAGGCCAGAGGCTGGGGAAGACCGTCACCTGACCACCCACTCTATACTTCCTCATCTTTGGAGGCTCTACAAGCACTCCAGGTGTCTTTACACTTTGAAGCTCTGGTCAATGAGCACTTGAATCATTGCCATTTATTGAAGTCTCTATAGCAGAAATAATGAAGGTGAACAATGACTTTGCTGTAAGGTTTATTTAATCCAGTTTAGAATCTAGAATTCCAGGCAGAGCTGAGTAAAATATCACAGAATAAACCTATGTAAGGAATGTGCTATCGTCTTCCCTTTAACATTACTTAAAATAATGGAGGAAGGAAAGTGTGTCAGGGAGTGGCCAGGGAAGGAGAGGTAAAGGAAGAACGTTTCCAGATAACACTGAAAATTACTTATTTATGAACACTTAGCAGCCCTGGAAAAAGGGATATATATAGCATTTTTCAGGTAGCACCCTTGAAAACATAATTCAACGTGTTTCATCACTGAGGTGAGGATTGTTATGAATATAATTTACAACTCTAACCTGAAAAGATTTGGGGTATCTATAAAATCTCACAATTTGAAGACACCAATTTCCTACTCTTCTTAACCAAATGATTTGGAATTTTGAACTCTAGTTTCTGAGAACAAAGAGCATTTGATTTTTCACACAAGCTACACAATAGCTATTCAGGGTATAGCTATTCAGGGAAATTTATAAAATAAGTTTCATCCTACTAACCATTTATTCTGCAATGCCTTCTGAAGACAGAAACTAAACACACAATTTTCAAAGCCATTTCTAATGAAACTTTTTAAAAGTGAAAAACAATATACATTATTAAGTACTGTAATAAAAGGAAAATAATGAAAACCATATATAAGAACTTGGGCAAAATTATTGGTCAGCCTTGTTCTTTCTTTAGGAAAAAAAAAATCTTTTCTAATTGTCCAATATTAGGTTCCTAGAAGGAAGGGATTAAAAAAACAGTTCTGTAAACTTAGTATAGTTAATTAGTATAAAAGCATTGAATACAATTTATAAATCTCAGAGGCTTCCAACTTTCTTCTGTGAAATCCAAATTTCTTATTATATTGAGTTCCTCTACCAGCTATTTCTTTTTCTCATCTTACTGTATCTAGTATCATTTACATTTCTTTTTTAAAATTTACTTTTGAATGGATAACACATGTATATGGTAAAAAATTCAAAAGCCACACAAGGGTGATCAGTGAAGAGTGTTATACCCTGATCGCCTCCTAGTTCCTCTCCTCAAAATGAACTACGGCCACAAAGTCCTGAGGTTTTCTTTTCAGAGACAATTGTGGGCATGTGTGTGTGTTAGCCTATATGAGTTTTGGGTTTTTCACACAAATGATATTATACACACTTTTCTGTATCGTGCTTTATCTCTAATTAACAGAACATCTTGGGGAATGTTTCAGTATGTGTTCGGTGCCCTTATTCTCTTTAAGTCTGCATTATATTCCACTATATGGAGGGAGTGCTACTTATTTAATTTAACTTTCCAGTATGGTCCCGGTGCTACATCCTGACACATCCCTGCTCTCCCATTTCACACCTGCTTCCACGTTTGTATTGCTCTTCTATACCAACGTAGATCTTAACTGCATTTCAAAACTCCTTAAATACAATGACTCATGATTTTGCAATTATACTTTCAAAGTATTTTTTAAGAAATTTACTGATTTTAGAGAGAGAGCGAGGAAGGGAGAGACAGAGAGAGACACCAGTTTGTTGCTCCACCTATTTATACATTCATTGGTTGATTCTTGTATGTGTCCTGACAGGGGATCGAACCCGCAATCTTGGTGTCAAAGTACTTCATCGGGGCATCACATCACTGTGAGTCTAGTAACTCACTCTCTGGGAGCTCAGTAGGTCATACATTCTTCCTCCTTAATAATTTTAATTTCAGCTACCTTTGACCATTACAAAGGCAGTCTGGATAGCCTCTATCTGTTATATGCTTGTTTATTTGGCGTCATGTATTTTTTTATGTGTGTTAACTGTCTCCTTTATGAATCATGCACACATTTTTCGTAAGTGTTTAAAAGTGTTGAAGATAGTCATTAGCAGTTCCTTAAATAAATTTCCATAACATTTATTTATATCCCACTTTGTTTCTAAAAGTGGCATGAAATGTCATTTCCTGCTACTTGTATTTCAGTAAAGCCATGAATATTCCTTCTGCTGAAAGACACAGATTTCTGACTTAGAAAACTTGCTAGTTTACCTTCTGCTGGTCCATGTGTGCAAAAGAGCATCTGGAAGAGTGAGACTAAGGAAGGAAGGGAAGCTGCACTTTACATGCTCTCTGCCCATGGAAACGGTTACATTTCAGGTCAAGAATTGGATCTTAGAAGTCTCATCTAGGCTGGAACTGCTCCCACGGAATTCAAATTTCACAGCTAATCGCTAGGTGGAAGTTATTTATCCCTTTGTGATTCAGTTTTTTCATCTCTAGGTACAAATTAACGTGTCATACCTGTTAGACTCCAGGAATCTGACTCTGCAGGGGGCCAGTTTGGGGAGCTGGATGTTATGTTTGAAGACCTCACCTGCAGGTCTAATGTGCCAGAGGACCCTGGGACAGAGTGACCGCAGGAGGCCGACTGCCAAGAGTCAAAGGCCATCTGAGTTCAGCTTAAAAATTAATTCAAAACTGTACCTCACATTAGAGTCCCGGGGTCCTCAGGGACAGCCTCTGGGGCCACCTCTAAAGTGATAACAATTCAATCTGAGAATGGCGGTCGGATGGGCAGGAACTGGCTGCTGCCTAATGAATACTTCTCTCCGTTAGTTTCAAAAGGAGACAAGAGAAAGGAACTGTCACAACTAACAGATCACAGAGAAGAAGACACACTAGCAACCCTGTATTTGCTACCCACTGCTATCCTCGGGGAGCAGGGGTACACAGCCCCAAGATCTGGGTGTTGGTGGGGACCAAAGCTGGCGCACCGGGGGGCAAGTTGCAGGTGCAAGTCAACGACTGGATGTGACCGTGACATGGGGGTGTGACTGCGCCTGCCACCCTCATGCCCAGATCTGCAGTCAACAGATTTTCTCATCGAATACAACTCAAGTCACTTAAAAGTCTACAGTCATCTGGTGGAAGTTTCAGATTTAGCTTGATACAATATGCAATACTAATAAAATCTCTTCCTATCAACTTGCCATACATGCAAAAGACAGAAACAAGCTCATCCTTGCCCTTTATAAATGAGGTAACTATCAGGGGCGGCATATGCCAAGGGAGGGTGATCTTTTTTTTAAACTTATGTTCTTAACATTATTGATTTCACAGATAAGTATGGTTGACGTGAGAGTTACACTGTGATCACCATCATCCTAAAATGTGATAATCAAAACTATAATGGTAATAGCTAAAACAAGCACAATTCTAAATGTTTTATATATAATTAACTTAATCCTTATAATAAACCTCTGAAAGGCAATCTTACTATTATGTTATTATACTATAACATATATGTATATGTATATATGTAGTATATAATATTGTATACTATTAAACTATTACTATCCATCTTGGATATATGAGAAGATTGAGTCACAGAGGGAATAGCTATCTTGCTTGGAATTTTCTAGCTAGGTGCAGAGCTTGGATTGGAACCAGGTAGTCTTGTTTCTTAATGATTACAGTCTCCTGTCTCTTGTATGACAGAGGACCAGGGCTGACGATTGGACAGCTCAGGGCTCTCATTCACACTGGAGTCTCAGCGAGCAGCACTCCCGGCACTGTACAGAGCCTAACCTGAGGCCAGATGCAGCATGCCCACGGGGGTCAGCAGGCCTTTACCTCTCCTGGCAGCGGTCCTTGACCAGCCCTGAGGTTCCTTTAGAAGAGCATCTCCAAATGGAACCAGTTTCATAAGATGGATGCTCCACCAATAAAGGTCTCAAGTCAAATTTATTTGGGATGAGGTGAATTAAACAGACTTAAATAGTTCTTTTACAGAGAGACCCCTTGAGATCCTCAGTGTGTTAGTGTTCATTGTGAATCTCCTAGAGGAGGATATGGTTGTAATATTTTCTAAACATATTTGACCATTTATCTCATCCTAAAGCAGTGCTTTGAGGAATATTTTATACTTTGGGAAACGTCTGACATTTAACTGGATCCAGCTGTGAGGCTGCAGCCTCTGTTTCAGGAAGCTACGCTGCTCTGTTATAAAAGTCTCCTGTAGATACTTGTGCACTGAGAATGAAGGATAAAGTGGGTGAAGGGAAAACAGCCTAGTATCAGGGGCCTTATGATGCTTCTGTTCACTGGCACCCCAAGCCTGCTGAGTTCCTCATCTGTGCAAGCCCTGGATCCCAAGATCAGCTCACAGAGTTCTTCCTCAATGGACATCCTGTTTCCCTGCTCACCCTCTTCCTTACGTAAACCCTGAACTCTCTTTTAATTTTGTCCCTACTCTCCAATTGGACGCTAGCTAGTGTAAACTGTCTATTGTCAAATTTCTGAAATAGGACTGACCTTACTTCTGGTAGCCTCAACAGTTTTTTAATATTCAGCCAACCTGACTCCAATTACGATTGATGTCTGTTTCTCTTGGTCCTTGCAATATGTCTTCTGATTAATGGGGTTTCAGCTGTTACTTTCATGGGATACCAGGAGTCACAGAATAAACTGGGCTCTTTAATACCAAACCATTTGGGGTGTTCTCTCCCTTCAGTACAATCTCTCCAGATTCCCAGGCTTATGGCAGCTAAATCCTGGACTGGGAAGTCTCAATAAGGTAGTGAATACAAACAGTCCTCAACCTTCAGAAAGTCTGCCATTCTTGGGGCAGTTTTGAAACTAAAATGGCCCATCTGTTCTCTCAATCAGAAATTGTGGTTCGTTTGGCTAGATTAGTATTCTAGATACTGACCCCAAACCAAGCTGACCTCAGGTGTGGGAGAAGGAAGGGACGAGGCGGTCTTCATTTCACTATTAATCTCTAGACATTCTATCTGGGGAAACCTTAAATAAGTGACTTGAAGTAATTAAGTTACTAGTCTCTGGAGAGTGCTGATGAATTGACTGCAATTTTTATTTTTATGATAATACTATCTGGATTTAAATCAACGAGGATCTCACAGGCTAATAGATTCAGTGCTTTCGATGACTAAGGGAGAGGGGCAAGGAACATACTATCATTTTTGGCTGATTAAATGGGGGAGAAATCTGGTGCTTTTTTTTTAAAGGAAAAAAATCACGAAAATAATTTAAAGTTATTAATCCACTAAGAATCAGAACATAGTCCAAAGCTTGTCATTGAGTTAATAATAGTTGGCGATTTCTTTCAGACATAGCTTTTGTGAGGTCATTTTTTTGAGGCTAGTGGTGAAAAGCTTCATAGTCACAGAGCAACATTTGGCAATAAATTAGTTCAGCTTGTTCCCACATGGTCCAAAAATCTTCATTTGTTCCATCATACAAAACAAACTTTCATTTGCTTCAAGCAGGGAAAAATAAATGATTTTCTTTTGCACATTTTGACAATTTAATTTTTAGCATGCTTATATGTTAATCTTTTTTTAAAAAAATAACTATTCTTTTCCCTGGCTATAGTCTCTGTAAGGAAAATAATGTGTTTTTAGGTTTTAACAGAAAGAGTAAAATTTTCTCAAGGCAATAGCAATACAGGACAAAAGAAAATACATGTGACTTAACACATTACTGAATGAGGTTGGGGGAAACCTTTCCTTATGTACAAAACAGGTTATAATGCCTCAGATCATGATAATCTTATGATATGGCTGTTGGAGACATGGATATGGAATCGGCAACTAAATACATCCTTATTAAAGTCAAGAATTGATCACTATAGTATGAAATAAATGTGATTATCAGTTATGTAGCTCCACTTAAAAGCATAAAGGTAGGAAGGCAAAAAAAAAAAAAAAAAAGAAAGAAAGAAAAAGAAAAAAAAGAAAGGGAAACACAACCCCAACCAGAGTTGTGGGAAATGTTACCTGGATTACTAAAGTTTGAGAAAATACCCTAATCAAGGGGATTTGTTCTGATGAACTAGGAGACTGTAGTGGTAGCTGATGGTGGTCATAGTAGTAGTAATAATAATAATATTATGTGATAGCCCTGGTCCTGCGAGTTTTACATACATGAACTTACTTAATCCTATGAGGTAGGTAATACCTCCATTTTGAAGATGAGGAAACTGAGGCTTAAAGAGATGCAATAACTTTGCAGAGTCACACAGCTCTCTGACACTAAAGGCACATCCTCAGCCTTCACACTATGGTTCTTTCAGGCTTCCAGCCTTAGGATACCAGCCCATCTGGTCCTAGTTATGTGACCTTGGGCAAGTTATCTAACATAAGCATTAGTTCCGTAAGTGGGCTGTTCCCACAATTAAATGAGATAGTTCATAAAGAACACTTACAGTACCTGGAAAGAAAAAAAATATTTAATAAAGGTTGGCTATTATTAAAATAAGAGAAATTAGCAAAGTATCAAAGAATTAATAGAGGTTTTATTTTGTTCTCTATATTTGTGTGTATGTGTATACGTGTGTTTGTTTCCTATTCTTTATGACCCTTTTTTAGTATTACCTCTTGGGAATAAAGTTGGTCCTAGAAATGATGACAATTAACAGGACTTCACATTTTTCAAAGTGCTTGTGTGAGTTATCCAATTTGATCCTTGAAACAGTCTCCAAAACTTGCCAACAAGACGATGCTTAAAGAAGTGAAGTAACATTACACTGGCCACACAGTTGACAGAAGTTGAATTCAGATTTGAACCCATGAGAGTAAGTTTAACTTTATATCCTTTGATATTGAGCCAATTAATTGCTTTTACTAATGCTTCGTTGATTGTGGGTTTTCTAAGTATATAATCAAATCATCTGCACCTATTGAAATTACTATTTCTTCCCTTTCCACAGTTATGACTTTCATTTGTTCTTTTCCTAAACCTTACTGGCAGCTGTTGTAGTATGGTGCTAAATAGAAACTTACCTTCATTTTTGCACCTTTGTTAACACTTTTTATGCATCCCCTCTGTATACCCTCTTCCGAATACTTGGACATGGCCCATGCCTGTGCCATCTGGCCGTCAGAGCAGGTTCAAATGTTGCCTCTGCTGTAAAAAATTCTCTTTGAGCTTCCCAACTGGAGTAACTCCTCTTTATTCTAAACAAGCGGATCTCAAGTGGGGGCAGCTTTACCCCCCAGGGAATATTTGGCAAAGTTTGAAGTCATTCTTGGTTGTCATAACCGGTGCAGAGGGTGCTACGGGCATCTAATCTGTAAGGGCCAGTACGGATGCTGCTAAACATGCACAGCACAGGACAGCCCCCTACAGTGAAGAACTGTCCAGCCTAAAATACCAGCAGTGCTCAGGCTGAGAAACCCTGTTCTAAACTAAGGGCTTAAGGCCTTAGGGCACATATTATTTCCTGCTTTGAAAGAACATTTATATATGTGTATATATATAAAAAATCATCAACCATAGTATTTGAGGATTTGAGGGCAGGGATTCTGTTTTAATTAGTCATCTTTTTACCACTAATGTTCATGATAGTTAGCACATCTCCCTTTATATCCATTGGTATTACTTCATTAAATACCTTAGACTAATTTAAACATTAATCAACCATTACTTACAAATGATGGCATATTTTAGATAGAACAATTTAAAGGTTCCTGAAGACTTTAGATGAATGAGAAAAATAATGTAGAACCTTAGTTTTTTAATTTATAAAACTCAGGCATTGTTCATTCTTATTTATGATTCCATACAACTTCCCCCAAATAATTGCACAAACCATAATATATTTTCAAACAATACAAAAAATAATATATTTGACAAGATACACTTCACATATGAAATCATTTGGAAAAACATTTTAACCATGAAAAAACTGACAATGTTGACTAGAAACTCTACTAGCAAAAGCAAAGTAAAGAGGAAAAGAAAAAGCGAAAGCACTTTTAAGACACTAGGCTCAAGGGAAACATAATCAGAGAAAACAAAGGCTCAACATAGCAACACATGTCACATTTAAAGCTCAAATTTTTAAAATAAATGTGATCTCCTTGGAAGCGAGTTGACATTGCTTTATTTGAAGTGCCTAAAGTATAATATTCATTATCACATGTCAGCAGCAATTCAGACAGGATTTTGTCAAGGAAGGAAATATGAATCTCCATGCATAATTCTTCTCACCAATGATATTTCCAGTGAGAGATAGAAGATACAGTCAATTTATGATGGCTTTGCTGTATAACAAATATTTCTTACAGCCAGGAAGGCTACTGTTACTTTCCACTAACAGCTGTATTTCTAAATAAAATTTTGAAGAGCAGTCAGTGTTCCATGTTACATTTGGAGAGAGCTAAATACAAATCAGGAAGTTAACTGGTGCATCTAATTTTTGTGTGTGGTTTTCCTTGTTATGTAGCACTTTCATGGAACAGTCTAACAAATGTGTCCTTTGAAGTGAAATGTATTGGATTTTATTATACTCATAAAGATTTCATAAAATTCCTAGTAACAACACTAAAGTAATAATTTGCTATGGTCAGCAGTAAGGGGAGTGGGCACAATGAAAATGGAACTACTTCCCAGGGAAGAGCAGATGGCAGCTCCAAGATTGTATCCATTTCAGTAATTTGTTCCCCATTTTTAAAGCACGTATTTTTTTTTATGGATAGTATTATTTATTTCCCGATGAAACTGTGCTATAATTACATGATTTAAAGAATTACTTACCTAGTAAATCAGAGGCTCTCAAATTTTCTTTCAGAAACACAACAGAAATAAAGGCACTACCTAGAAAGAAAGTGGCCATTATTAGTAGTGTTTCCAGTAAAACCCCACACAATATGCAGTGCCATCGGAAAGGAGTCAGGCAGTTTGTGTCTTGGGCCTGACTAGCTATGTCCTGGTCAGAGACGCCCAGCAGCTGTGGCTGTAAAGATGACTTCTTTCCCCCTCGTGGTTCAGGATTCATGGAAAGTAGCCTGTTTACCATGGCCCTGGGACAGTGATTGGGATAGTGCCCCATACACAGTGAGGGCTAAGCAATTAAACGAATGGGATGGAAAGAAGGGAAGGAGGGAAGGAGGGAAGGAAGAAGGAAGGGAGAGAAGGGAGAAAGGCAGAAAGAGATAGAAGGGAAGGAAAGAAAGGAAGAGCGGAAAGCAGGAATTCTGAACTTTATGTCCTAAACTGAAACTCATGATTTCCCTCACCTCCTCCTATAATCTCCATTCCTATGACACCTCTATGGAGCCCAGACTCCTAGGACCCCGCCTAGGCTCCCCTCCTTCTCACTACACATCCACAGGCTACTGGTCTGTGAAATCTGAATGTCACTCTCAAACCCACCCTCCTCTTCATTTCGCTGTCACTGTCCCAGCTCAGGCCGGCTTCACGCCTGGCTTTGGCCCCTGGAACGGCTTCCCACTGCGCCTCCCATTTCACTCCCCACCCTTCTTCGCACCACCAAAGTCATCTTTCTAAAATGCAAACTTAATGTCAGTCCACAGCTTTAAAACTTCTTCTCATTTACACCACCAAGGCAGCCGTCCAAAGACAGCCATCCAGATATTGTTCCTGCCACTTTCCTTGCCACATTTGCCCTTGATTTCGTTCATATTCTAGGCTCACCTTTGCTAAAATAGTCACAATTCCCAGAACCGCCATTTAGTTTTATGCTATAGGACTTTCATTTGTGCCTCCCCTATTCAACTCTGCCTCCATCCTCTCCAGCAACTCAAGACTAGAGCGTCCCCCCGGACCCCCCTCCCATCCCCACCACCAGGTTAACTGCTCCCCCTTATGTGGGATTGCCCCTTGTGATACAGCCTTTTCATCACACCTAAGATTTGCCTGTCTCTCCCAAAAGACTCAGAGTCCATTTTGCACTCATATATTCGTACATTTTATTCTTTGAACATCTCCAGTGTGGTAATTAGTACGTGGCACATAAATAGGAGTGTCTGCAGGATCTCTATTCTGCATTTGCTGACCCTTGTGATCCAGGGGTGTCCAACTTTTTGGAGTCTCTGGGCCACACTGGAAGAAGAGTTGTCTTGGGCCGCACGTTAAATACATTGCGACACGTAATCACACACACAAAAATCTCGTAATGTTTTAAGTAATTTTACGATTTTGTGTTGGGCTGCATTCATAGCCACCCTGGGCCGCAGGCGGGCAGCGAGTTGGACAGCCCTGGCGGTTCCCTCTTTCCCATTACGGATGCTACCAATTCTAAGCTGCCGTCGCTATGGCTCAGTGTGCAGTAAGTCGAACCTCTCTAAGTTGTTTCTCTGATGGAGCCATTGCTCTATGAGGGATGGGAAAATGCAAATTTGCAATAATACAAAGAACCAAAACACAGCAAAATTTATATTTTCAATTTTTAACAAAAATTATTAGCCAAGTTTTTTGTTTTTTGTTTTTAAAGTAAAAGCACAGGGGGAAAAGCCATTATAAAACAATATCATCATTTAGAGAAAACTGCAGTTAATATGTTAGTGTGTTTATTTTTTCCTTTAGTTGAGATCAACTATAATGCAAAATTTCTTTTCTCAGTTTCCTCAGTGACCATATATATTACAAACAGTTTGTCATGTCATTAAAAATGCTTCATAGATATAATTTTAACGAGCCTGTATAATAATCCACTGAATCAGTTAAATTGGACTATAACCATATCTGGCGTTCTGGCAGTTGATTTAAAACAAAATAACAACTCTGCAACAGACACCCTTACGCAGGATAAACCGGGATCCTCATAGATTCTCTCCATCATCTCCTCGCCTCGCTCCCTCTCATTCAGGCTGGACTATGTCCTTGCAAACTTTTCCTGGGCAGGTTATTTATAGGAATGAAGGATTCACACAGAATAAGCATAACATGAGAAACGTCCACCAAGCATGAATTTAATTGTGTGGTATGGCTTTAAAACATTAAATGAATGTTTTATTTTCTGTATATCTATTTTTCTGTAGATAAATTAATTTACAGATACATAGTCCATTACATTAAAAATTGAGTTTGGGACAGATGTGAAAATGTACAAAAATTTTCTGCTTCAGGTTCAGATCAAAATAATTTAGGGCAACTAATTTCACATGTTAGAGCATCGGAAAAGGTATAAAAACCAAGACCTCATTCCCACCCCCATCACTGACTGCCTGTGTAATTAGGTAAGGAATGTTCCCAAGGAGAGGGAGACAGATTAACAATAAAAAGTAGGCAAAGTATCGCTACACTCACAGACATGAAATGCGTTCCATCATAACAATCAAGGACTACTTCACAGCAAAGGATTCCAGTAAGAAGGGAGGCACTGCTTACGTGGAAGGAGAAAATGTTAGAGCTAGTAGGATACATAGAGATAATCTACTCCAGATCCTAAATGTTATAATTGGGAAACTGAGGTTTAAAGAGGTTTTTTTAATTCGTTGATCTGTTTATCCAACGACCATTTACATGACAGCAGATTGGAGTCAGTACCCATATTTCCATTTCCCCGTCCAGAGCTCTTTCTAGTAAACTGCACTACATTGCCTCCCTTGAAGTGAGAAAGGAATTATTTTCCTTCTCTTTTTGTTGCTAAGCCACAGTTTCATAAATAATTTCACTTTCAGAAGAAATATGGGAAAATGTTATGCAGGAAATAATTTCATTGCTAAGAGCAAAAAAGGACATGATTGGTAACAATAAGCTGAACTACACTAACGCATCAAATTATATCAATTGCTGTAAAATAGTTACCAGAGTTTTATGAAACATAAATATGCTATTTTTGCGTTCTGAAAAAAATATATCTGATGCACTTCTATAATCATTTTTCTGTTTTAAGAGAACATGAGATTTTCTATAAAATTTTTACATAAGAGAATAAGAAGATTTTAAGTTTTATTTATCTAGCAAAGTAATAAAAAAGAATGTTCTATTAAGACACATTTACTTGTAACTCATCTACCTTGCAAAACATTGTTAAAATGAGTGCTGCACTGAGCAAAAACACAGTATCTGAACAACAGCTAATAACATGACTTCTAAGTAGAGCAGTAAATTAAGGTGAGAAAAAAATAAACTGAAGTGTTCCCCTATATATTTGCGATCAGAGATCTGTCAAGCTCAGCCTTGCCTAGTTGTTGCTATAACCACGGCCATTGTTTAGTGAACACTTAGGAAGGGAGAAAATCGATTACACATTTATTCCTCCAGTAAAATTTAATATTCAACTGGAAAAAAATTTCAAGATCAATAGCTTAAAAACCATTAAAACAGAACACACTTGCAAATTAAACAGATTTATACTAGGTATGCTTAAACTACAGTTACTACTAACATGTACTTTAGCACTTACACTTTTGTGTACATTTTGGACTATAGGCATATTTGGGCAGAGGTTCATGAATCCTTCTCCATTCTGGCCTTCATAGGGCACTGGTCTACACAGGGTGCTCCTGGACACTGGTCGATACACAGAAAGCTCCTGGACACTAGTCTGTGCACAGAAAGCTCCTGGACACTGGTCTGCACAGAGAGCGCTCCCAGACACTGGTCTGTACACAGAAAGCTCCCAGACTCGGGTCTGCACAGAGAGTGCTCCTGGACACTAGTGTGCACAGAACATTTACAGACACAGTCCTAGCCAAGTGCTCATGGACAATGAGGTGAAATTCATTACGCAGTCTCACACAGTGACTCCAGAGATAGAAACTGGACTACAAATGACATAACACACTTTAAAAAAGTGAAAAGCAGCGTATGAAAGATAACATACCAAAATTCAAACAGTGGTTATATAGAAATCATGGGGAAAAAAGATAGCAGGAATATTATCCATAAGGAGAAAGGATAAAAACTTCTAGTATTTTCTTTGGTTCGAATGGTGTTCCCATGGGGAAATTTACTAATATATTCATCTGGCCTTGGTCACAAAGAATCTTAGCAACAGATATAATGGACTGATTCCTACTGGTGAGTCATCTAGACTCTTTTGGGCCATTAACTGTCACTCAGGTTGGCAATCTGAATGAAGATGCTTTCTGTTCAAGGTTGACATAAGGAAGCTTACACACAGGCATTCTGATTCAGATTTCCAGGTGAAGATAAAGGCCAAGAAAGATTCTGGTGGCTTCAGGTGAACGGTCCTGATGTGAGGGACCAGTCCCAGGTGTAGGTGTGTGTCCTGGTATTGAGCCTCCTGATTTACTTAGGAATAAACACGGAGTTTGTTCTTCATTCACCCCCTCTCTGACATCATTGAGACTTCGTCTAAAACCTGGTTGTTATTATGGAAGAGTTACTTAGCTTAATGTGGTCAAGAGTTGGTGATCCATAGCAAGCCACAAGTGAGAGAGAAACAAAAGAAAACAACTATAAATTAAACCGGTGCATGAGAATTCAAATAGGTTATACAAACTTGATTTGGATTTTCTTCGGTAACAGCTACTGATGAAGATCAGTAACTTAAGCATCAGTTTTCTGTTACACAGGACAAGGGTCTCAAGGTCTCAACGGTTCTTAGTGCTATTCTTGTTAAATGCTAAAATGCACAGTATTTTGCAGCTGCAGCTGCAGTGAGATGAGCTTGACCAGAAAGGCAACTAGGTAAGTTTAGCCAACTGCAAAGAAGAAATTGACAGGCAATTAACCAAATAGGGTATATAAGCAATGACTAAGCCTCCCTTTCGAAAGACAGAGCTTTGGATGCCAATCTTACTTGCTGCAAGTCAATAAAATTACCTAATAACAACCATGTTTGGATGCCAGTCTTACTTGCTGCAAGTCAATAAAATTACCTA